ACCCCTAAAAGTCATTTTGGAGACTGAAGCACAGGCCCAGCTCCTATTACAGAGAAAATCATCTCTGCGGGGTCAGCATCCTGAAGTTTTTTTTTTCAGCAGGATTACGAGCCAAAAGAGCGAATGAAAACGAGAGAGCTGATGACGGAGCTGGAAAAGCGGAGAAGCAGCGGCGAAACATACCCACAAATCAAGAACGGACAAATAATTCAGGTCAAAAGGACATTGCTCTGGCCGACGGCCGTCATTCTGACAGCCTAACCGATGCAAAGGTGCCAACTCCTGAGGCTGCTCTCACCAGTGGCCATTGTCTAGAAATCTATTACACTAACTGTCAGAGTCTTCAAAACAAGCTAGATGAACTCAGATTACTAGTCTCTGAACAGAAGCCACAAATAGTTGTCCTAACAGAGACATGGTTGACTGAGGAAATTAGTAGTAGCGAAGTCAGAATTGAAGGCTACCAACTGTTCCGTTGGGACAGACTTCAGCGTAGAGGAGGAGGCACAGCGACTTATGTGTCAAATGAAATTGCGTGCTGTCAACGAGAAATATCCCATGGTGCGCCCCGAAATTTTGAAATAACTTCATGCCAGATATTTATCAAACAATTACCGACACTGAACCTGTGTGTTGTCTATCGGCCTCCTAGCTCGAATGAACTCGACGATATGGAATTACTTAGTGCACCGGAGTTGTTATGTAAGCTGGAGAACTTACTACTTCTGGGTGGCTTCAACGCTCCAGGAATAGACTGGAACATTCCCCTAACAAACGCCCCGTCCACGTCATTTGACAACAAGCTACTACAACGCTCCCTGAATGAATACCTCATTCAACACATAAAATTCGGAACAAGAATGAGAGAAGGACAACGATATAACTGCTTAGATCTCGTTTTCAGTAAAGAAGAGGGACTCATAAGGGAAGTGAATCCACAACCTCCACTCAGTTTAAGCGATCATATTGCTTTTACCTGCGTGTGCTCTCTCCTATCCAACCAACAACCAAAAATCATGAAGCGCAGAAATATTTGGAAGGGTGACTTTAACGCATCTGCATCGACTGCAAGCGTGGTCGAAGAAATGGCTTCTAGATTTCAATGTGGAGAAGTGTGCCATTTTTCATCAGCGTCCAACCAACTCTCATTCAAATGAGAGCCTGAGGACATATAACCTGAAGGATATAAGACTCCCCGCAGACTCTTCACAGAAGGAGCTCAGGGTTGGGATACAGAACAACCTGAAACCAACACTGCAGGGCCACAAGGCTGCAAAAAACGCCATGGGAGTGCTGAATGCAGTAAAAAGGGCTTTCGTTAACTTTGACCAAGACCTTTTTGGGAGAGTTTACGGCACATTAGTTCGGCCCCACTTAGAATATGGCATACAAGCATGGCGGCCATGGCTAGTAAAGAACCAAGCATGCCTCGAACCAGTACAACGGCGTGCAACAATGCTGGTAAACGGCCTAAAAAGTCAATCCTACAGAGCAAGACTGAATTGCCTTTAATTATTCCCCTTGTGTTAAAGGCAGCAGAGAGGTGATCTTATCCTCGTCTACAAGATAATACATGTCCTTGAGCATGGACTTAAATTTGAGGACATGTTTCAGTGGCACCTTTCACGCAATCTTCGTGGTCACTCGATGAAGTTACGGACAGCAATGTCCAGGCTGAATCTTCGTTCTGAATTTTTCACGCAGGGGGTAGTGGAGAAATGGAACGATCTCCCTCAGTCAGTCGTGGAGGCCACGTCTCTGCAGTTCTTCAAGAAACGCTTGGATGATTATTTGTGTCCCCTATTTTCCCTCGACAGTCTGAATTTGAACTCAGACCCCACGCCCTCACTAATATTTTCTTTGAGACAATGCTACTAAAATAAATCAAGTACTGTTTTAATAGCGAATAATTTTGTTCGTGTATAGTTATTTCTAACGAGCTGACATGTAATCAATAGGGTGTTCAAAGGCGTTGCCTATTATCCTTACCAAATAATCTGAAAAAAGTGAATAAACTGATATTGAAACGAAGAATCTGCAGAACATGTGAGTACAAGGAGTAATAGGGATTGTTGTGAAAACTTTCACAAATTGCAAAAACCGAACGCGTAGATTACACATT